AAATAATTGCAGGTTTTTGGAGACTTGCGGAGTAGGAATGTTCGGGACGTATGTAAAGTGGTTGGACTTGGAGGACAACAATGATATTGGGCTTAATATCTAGTGGAGGTAATGCAAAAATGGGCTTTGGATGGAGCATGGAAGAAGATGATCTCTTAATTAAACGAAGATGAAAGAATTTTTCCCGCGTACGGGAATTAATGATTGGGCGATTACGAGAACTTTGGAGAATTTAGAAAAGACAAATTGGGCTTAAAATGAAGAAAACTTGCAGAAAAATAGGTTAGGAGATGATTGGACTCAAACTGGGCCAAATGGGCTAAGCTGTGGAGGCCCAATACACAAAGAAGCCTCATAGTCCGTCAGTTCACGTAGCCCGCATGGAATCCTTACGTGGGCCGCATGGATTCCTGTTGGGGCAATTTCAGAATTTCAATTGGAAGTCTATATGGGGAAGATTGGTGTGCCACTTTTCTCAACTTTTGCACATCCGACTTTGGAGCCTTTTCTCTGGAGATTTTGAAGACTTTGAAGGCCAAGAACCTTGAAGAACATCATCTTTTCATCTCTAAATCTTGTTGAATATTTGGTACAATCTTTTCTTATCTTTTTTTCTTGAGTTTAGCCATGCTAGGCTAAACTAAACTTGGTTGACTTTGGTGGAATCCTTTGAATCTTTGTTGAATGTTGAAGACTCCATGAACTTGTTCTTGAATCCTTAAGAGAATGCTTTATGTTTTAACATCTTATTACTACTTGTATGTTTTTATTTATGAGTTTAAATGTGCTTGTGGTGATTAGTTGGCTAAGTAAAAGATCCTCATATTAGCAAGCAACAAGTGATTTTTGTGTTAGTTTTACTTCACACAATCATAAAAACATTTTCTCCAACATGGTAGTGAAAACATTTGACTCCTCTTGGATTTGGTGACTTTTTGTTTATTTCGTGGATTTTTTATGTTCGTTCATGTAGTTTCATTTATGTTCGTTTACATCCATTCATTTACGTTCGTTTATATTCGTTCTTTTATGTTTATTCAATAATGTTCGTTTAACACCTTAATGAGTGAACATAAATGAACATGAACGAAATACTTTCTTAAACGCAAGAACATGAACAAGGAAATTTGTTCGTTTATGCGTTCATCTTCGTTCATTTTTTCGGTTAAACTTAGACGAACAAACATGAACAAGCCTCGTTCATGTTCGTTCGGTTTGCTTACGACCCTAATTATAACATGTTAACAACATGCCAAAGGCTTAAAAATGAAAAGTTTTCCAAAATATAATGGCATATGAGGAACAAAAAAATGGGGATAAAACAGAACAAGACCGTGCAAATAATGGCTTTTGTGACATTAAGGGCGTGTTCAGCACAAAGCGTTTAAGAGCTTCTTACTTCTAGCGTTTGACAAAACGCTCTGTTTTGAACAGAAAGTCTCATTTGGCACTACAAGCTTCTAATGTTTACTTTAAACAAAACACTTCAAATCCAAAAACTACTTCACGTACGTTTAACAAAATGCTACCCGCTACACGCTACTAGCTAGTTTTTGCTGAACACGCCCTAACCCTAATTATTAGAATAAAACAGCTCCCGTTTTACTTTTTTTTTCTCAAAATAGCCGCCAGTTCACACTAGTTTTTTCCGATTCCTTCGGCAATTCCGGTCCTATAACCCATCTAATCGGGCTATAATCGAAACCGATTTATTTATAACGGTCATTTTTTGGTCATCTACTTAGCCCATGTCCATCATTTGGTTTTCCGATTCCGATCCGATTTGAGTCGGTTTCGAAACCGATTCCATGCCTAATCATGAAGGTAGAGTAGATTTCGATTATCATTGTCTAAAGTCCTAATATTCATCCCACAAAGAATCAAAGTCAAAGGCCATTAAATCATCCATAAAAAAATAAAAGAACTATTAATGTAACAATCTTTTATGTTATTTTATTTACTAACATTCTAATATCTACATTATAAACTTTATTGATATACGTAACCATTGAATAAAACAATACATAAATTATATATATATATATATATATATATATATATATATATATATATATATATATATATATATATATATATATATATATATATTGCAACAAAAGTACCGACGAATTAGTATAGTTTTTTTTATGGGTTTAAGTCATTATTGGTCACTTAACTTTTGGTTTTGTGCTTATTTGGTCACTTAACTCTTTTTAAGTTTTAAAAGGTCATCAAACTTTTGACTTTGTGCTCATTTGGTCACTTAACTTTTGGATTTATGCTCATTTAGTCACCTAATTTTTAAAATTGTGTTCATTTAGTCACTAAACTTTTAAAAAAAAATAAAAGTTTAGTGACTAAATGAGCACAATTTTAAAAGTTAGGTGACTAAATGAGCACAAATCCAAAAGTTAAGTGACTAAACCAAAAGTTAAGTGACTAAATGAACACAAAACCAAAAGTTTGATTACCTTTTAAAACTTAAAAAGAGTTAAGTGACCAAATGAACACAAAACCAAAAATCAAATGACCAAAAATGACCTAAACCCTTTATATTTCATACTTTTCCTACAAGAGTTTTATATTTTAGATTTTGGCAACAAAAAGCTAGGAATAATATACTTTTTGTATTTTACACTTTTACCACGAGTTATTTATTTTATTTTGATCACTAGGAATTTTTTATTTCAAATTTTGGCCACAAGTCTTTTCTTTGTCGGTAGGTTTTGTCCCTAGACTTTTTTATGTTGTCACTTTGCACCCTCTTATTTTATACAATGCCACTTTCCACCCATCTACTTTGTAAAATTTTATTTTCATCCCGTCACATTTTTCACCCTTTTATGTTTAGTACATAGTTTTGTAAGAACACTACTCCACTTAATATTTTGTTTTTAAAACATGCTTACATCCATGAAAAAAGGACTCTAGAATAAAATTAACACCACATCAAATTACCCCCTCTTCCCTCCCTCCATAAACCTTGCATATAGTAAGCAAAACCTAGTTTGGTCCCCATGAAACAGAAACATGACAATTTCTAGTCTAAGATTATAAAATCGAAATATATTTATGCTCCCTAATAAACTACATGTAAGAGTTGAGTGAGTCCCTTCCCTTTTAATTTTTTTAATTTCCTATTCATTCCAAAGTGACGACTTATACCCTTTGACCAAACCACAACCAAATAATTAAATAATAAACCAATCATCATAACTTCAGATAACACCATTTATAGCACAAAAACAAATTAATATTACTAATTAATTAAAGAATTATTTGCCGTTTTAAAATAATAATAATAATAATAATAATTAAAAAATTAGTTGTTTTTTTTTTACTGTCTTAGTTTCTGACTTTTGTAATTAGTTTATCAAAATATAATATCATACTTCTTTCCTTCTGAATTAATCCATGAATTATGCGTCATATGCACATAATTAAAGTCTTTTCTTAGTTTCAATTTTCTAATCAATAAGAATTAAAACAAAATGGCATGATTTACTTATTAAAATTTAAGGCAAGTTTTAGGAGAAAGATTTACATTTAATAAAAAAATAAAAATAAATAAATAAATAAATAAAATCGTTTTTAAACAATTAAATGGAGGTCGATATACCTAAAAACAAAATGGTGTAATTTTTTTAACTAAAACTGAGTTCAATATAGGGTAAATGGCACAAAAAACACTCTGTTTACACAGAAATTCGATTTTGACACCGTGTTTTTTTTTGTGTCAATTTTGACACTGTGTTATTAATTTTTTACTAAATGTAACCATATGACTGGTTGCCTTCAGGTAAACCGGTTTGGATATTGCTGAGTGGGCCATTTGCTTATGTGGCATACACGTAAGATCCTACATGGTAGTTGAGCCTTTATAAATGATCCCTAACGGCTTCAACCCTTTAGAACCCTAGATCGATCTTCACTTTTTCTTCACTTTTTCATCTCAGTTCTTCACGAGGATTCTGCTATGGTGTCTTCGTCTCGATCAGCTGGATCAACGAGTGGGGTAAACAAGTCAAACAATGGTCCCTCTAGGACGTGCTACTATGGAGTAATTACCCCCTTGAAGATATCAACGAGTGAGAAGAATCCTGGAAGAAGATACTTTGGGTGCAGGTATTGGCCCGATGAAGTTGAAGACTGTGGCTACTTTGAATGGTATGACGGTGAAGTAAGTCCATGGTATAAGGAACTTCTGTTTGAAGTTATGGCAAAGAAGAAAAAAAGCACTGGACAGGGAAAAGGGAACCCTCATCATGGTGAAATAAGTTTAATGGATCTTGTTAGGGTTGTGATTGGTTTGCTTGTTATTTTAGTAGTCATGGTAGGGATTTTGATGTGGATGGTGTACAAGGGTTAAGTAGGAAGAGGTTGTGGTAGGTCTTTAAGTATGAATTAATGCCAATTAAGGTCCAATGTTGACCATTTTTGTGTCTGGATGTATTGATGTACTACCTTTAAGTTTGTATGTTCCAATGTTGACCAATATTGATATATATGGTGAAGTGTATATGTTTGTGATTGTGAATTGGAAGTCTGATGCTAGTGGACCAAACTACCCTTTACTTATGTAACAAACCAGTGACCAAAAAATAAAGGACCTAAATACCCTTACCTTATGAAACAATTGGAAGTATGAAAAATACCAAAAAATAACCAAGTGAATTGGAAGTATGATGTTATATGTTGCTAGTGGACCAAACTACCCTTTACTTATTGAACAAACCAGTAACCAAAAAAGAAAGGACCTAAATACCCTTACTTATGAAACAGTTGGGATTGTAAAAGATAAAAAAGATTGACCATAAACACCATACCAAGGATAACATTTACAAAAGATAATTGACCATAAACACCATACCATAAACCCATCCCATTTACAAAAGGGGTAGTAATGTTTGGGTATACCATATACAAAAGATAACACCATACCAAGGATAACATTTACAAAAGATAATTGACCATAAACCCCTAACCTTCTGCACCCTGATCTACTCCAAAGAAACAGGGTCCAACCTACTTCGACCTGGTCCAGCAACCTTCTTTCCAACAGCCTTCATTCCAGTCTGAATTTTAGTAATTCTCTCTGAAGGCCTCCTTGTTCTCATCAACCTTTGGGATGGTGGTGTCTCAGCAATGCCTTCATCCTCTGTTTCTGGTACAATGTCAACTTGAGCCACATGTGGAACTTGTTCAACCTCTGGATCTTCTTCAACCTCTGGAACTTCTTCATGCACAGTTTCAAGAACAGGTGGAACTTCAGCCAAAACTTCAACATCTAAATCTTGTTCATATAGTACATGATACACCTCATCCTCTGAGTATCCTGATGCAAGCAACTCTGTAGCATGTGCATCCCCATTCAAAAACTGTACCAACATAACATCTTGCAGCCCTTCATCTTCAAAGTCCTTGCTACTACCTTCATGTATCCCTTTAACAGATTGAGATGCCTTTGCTTTACCCTGTTAATAAAACAGTAATTGTGTTAACAATAGTAGACACTAAAGATTTGATAAAAATAGTAAAGCTTACCTTTTTTGACTGTTACACCTTGCCTGTCCATCCATTTGCCCATCCATTTCCTGAGTGTGTTGACTATTTTGACTCTTTTGACTTGTGGATGCTGTTGTTTTTTTCATTGCCACATCCCTAGTCACTGGCCTACCCTTTCTTTTCTTTTCCTTTGGAGTTTGGGGCTTAGTTGGATTCTTGCAGGTTCTTTTGTTATGCCATTCCTCCCAACAGTTCTGGCATATCTTTGTACCTCCAACAGACTTTATCTTCCTGTACTCTCCATTCTTCTCTGTGACATGTTTCCTTCTTCTGGTTTTAGGTCTTCCTGGCATCCTCCTTGCAGGTGATGGCAGTGGCTTGGCATATGGTGTCCTGGCCCACATTTTACTACCATTTAGAGGCCTGATATTGCCTTTGTAAGTCTCTACAAACTTCTCTTTGGAAAACCATGAACTGGTCAGTGTTTCAGGTTGCTGTTGTGTGTGGTTCATAGTTGCACATGCATGGACACATGGAATCCCAGATATTTCCCATAATCTACAAGTGCATAATTGTTCTCCTAAGTCCACCTGAAAAGACTCAAATCCTAGTCTCACTTCAAATACATTTGTTTCACTAGCTACAACACTCCACAACCTGTAATTCATGCAATACATGTTAGTGAATAATCTTAATGAATACTGAATAATTTTAGTCAGTAATGTTACCTCATATCTTTACACCAGTCATCCAGCTTTGTCAATATTGTAGGGCATACATCTCCCCTCCATGTTAAGTGTATTGTAGACATCCTATAAAACCTCTCCATAACATACATTCTGAGCTCCTCCAACATAGTAAGAAATGGCTTAGTCCTTGCCTCCAAAATTACTGAATTGAAGCTCTCTGATATACCATTTTCTACTGCTTGACATGCTCTACCTTCCTTATAAAATGCTCTGCTCCAACTCTCTGGGTTCCTTGCCATGAGGTGGTCATAAGCACCCCCATTCATTTCTTTGAGTTCTTCCATTGTCTCAAGAAAAGATGACTCTGTGGTTGACATTGAAGCTGCCCAAAAATGTCTCTTGTAATCAATCCCATTGTACACCTTTTTAAAGTTGACATACACATGTCTGGCACACTGCCTATGCTCAACTAATGGTAACTTCTCCTTTACAGCCTCTACTAAGCCCTACATTCATACAAAAAACTATAAAGATACAAAAAAGACTAACCATATATAAAAGAGTAAACAAACAAAAAAGAGTAAACATACCTTATGCTGATCAGAAATAATTGTCAGCCCTTCACCTAACTCTAAGCCAAGGTCTTCTACAAGCAACTTAATAAACAACTCCCAGCTGTCCTTGTTTTCAACATCAATCACAGCCTTGGCTATTGGATATACCTGGTTGTTCTCATCCCTACCTATTGCAGTGAGTAACTCCCCTTTGCATTGCCCTTTTAGAAAACAACCATCTAGTCCAATGACTCTCCTGCAACCCCTAATCCAACCATCCTTTATAGCCTTAAAACATACATATAATCTTTTAAAAACACTGCTACCATCTTCTTTGACATCAACTCCAACCTTTGATGTACTACCAGGGTTTGATATGATGATCTCTCCTCCATATTCCCATATACGAGCATAATGCTCTGATAACTTTCCAGTTAAAATCTCTTGTGCTTTCTTCTTAGTCCTATAACATTGTCCCTTAGACTCAATGCATAAAAATTTCTTCTTAATTTCTTCTTTCATCTCCCTGGCTTTCATTTTTGGTCTAACACACAATTTTTTCAAGAACTGTTTGGCTATCCAGTCAGGATTAACCAATGTGGCATGCTTGTACTCCCTAACACAAGTATGCTTATTATTAAGTCCCTTAATTTGAAATGATTTCTCTTTGTTCATCCAGGATGCCCACAGCTTGAAGGTACATCTCTTGCCTTTATTGTCTAAACCACATTTTGCTTGAAGCCTTGTACTAGAAGATTTGGTCACCTTAATTGGATAACCATTGTGAACTGCATAGTTAGTCAGGCAGAACCTTAACTCAGTTTGATTAGCATACTTTTCACCTAAATGTGGTTTCATTTTCTTCCAATGAACAGAAGGGTCATGAACACTATATTTGGTTGGTTTTTGATCAACCTCATCCTCGTCATCTTCAATTTCTTTATCAGAATGACCTTCTTCTCTAATGACTTCATCATCAACATTTTCCCTCTTATTGTAAACAGGAACATTGCACAAATCATAAAGAAAGGCATCAAAAGGAAAAGTGGTGTGTTCATTTGCATCATAGTCACCCAATTCTTCATCGACAACAAATGCCCTTTCTGATTCACTCTCTGATTCTGACTCTAACTCACTTTCTTCAAAATCAGAGTCGTAATATGGTCCCTTTTCCATTTCATCGGACGGTTGTGCTCTCCTTATCTTACGTCGTGGGTTCCTCATGATGGTAAGCTTTCACCTTTCTTCGAAGTTACAGACGGTAGAAACCCTAGTTAATGAGGGTAGAAACTTTTTCTCCTTTTTTTACGTAGGATGATAAATGAGGGGGACGAGGGGGATGACATGTTAAATTAGGGGAAAGGGGGTGACATGGACGATGCCACGAAGACGTATTAGGGGCAGGTAACCGGTTAACCGACTGTAGTAGGTCATATGGTTACATTTAGTAAAAAAGTAATAACACATTGTCAAAATTGACACAAAAAAAGAACACGGTGTCAAAATCGAATTTCTGTGTAAACATAATGTTTTTTGTGGCATTTACCCTTCAATATACCTAAAAACAAAATGGTGTACTATTTTGCCATGTTATTTATGTTTTTCAGTTTTTGTAACAATTGTGTATGTATAATAAATTATATTTATATTAGCATTTGTAACATTTTAACGAATTTTAGTAGATAATCATTTATAAAAAAAAAACCACCCATGATTTTTTTCGTGACAAATGTATTTAATAATTTTGTTTTCTTTTCAAAAAAAATTCACGGAAAGCGATCTAACCTCTACTGCAACCATCGCCGGCGATGAACCCATCACCGTCGTATCCTTCGTTACAGTGACACCGGTAACCCACCGTCTGATTCACACGAGACACATTCCGGCAAACAGCGTTTTTATGACAACCGCAGTCGCCGTGAACCCACCAACCCAATTCCAACGACACCGGCAATCCATGTGAAATGTTCTCCTTCAAATCAATCGTCACCGACGACAACAAAACCTCACAACTAGCGGATTTCAATTCCGTCAAATCAATAAACTCTACTGGAGGATTATCCTCAGAGTAACAATTCATGCTCCGATTAATCGCCGAATCACACTGTTGTATGCTGAAACGACTCTCAACTAAACTAGTGGACACTATACAATCATTCAACCTCTCCCTGCAGTCTTCCAACAGCAATGCGTTTCGTGAAGTGAGAGCGAAGTTTGAGTTATCGAAGCGATTAATTTCTTCAAACGAACGACTGCAATTCGCCGGTAGACTAATCGACATATGATCTCTGGTTAAATTCTGAACGGTGTATCCACCAAAACGGATCTCTCCATCAGAACAATCGAGACGAATTTCACAACCATCGCTAAATCCGAAGGGGTAGGAAACTTTATTCCGCCGACCACCAGCTCCGCCTCTACAAACACGATTGCAGTTTGCTTGAGCAGATGTTGACGACGGCGATGAAATTGTTAGAATCACGGAAAAGAAGAGGAGATGAAGAATCATGTTTGAATACAAAGCGGTTTAGTTGATGTTGTTGAGAACTTTATAAATGCCGAGAAAAACAGAGAGATGATGATTTCTGGCCAGAACGTTAATTGTTGCAGCTCCTAGATATGGAAAGCCGGAAAGAGAGACTCCGGGTCAATTTCCGGCGACGTTTTACTTCTGTGAACAATGAAATGAAGGGGAGAAATCGTATAAATGACATTTGAATGTAAATGTGTCATTCTACCGCCTTTTGTGAAATTACAGTTGTACTTTTTGAGATGGTATTTTTCCTTTTTAAATTAAATTTAGAGTTAATGTGATTTAAGATGGTCAACTATTTAGATTTTAGATGTTCATTTGTTAGTCCTCATGTACAAATCTCCTATCCTAATAAACAAGAGCTTTCTTGCCAGGTGGTAATTTCTAAGCCCCTACCAATCATTTTTTCCTGCTCGAATATGTAAAGTGAAATACCGACACTGCGCTTTTCCTTAGCCCTTATCCTTACGTTACAATTACGATTACGATAAACTCCATTTTACCTCCGATACTTCTCCGATGTTTCTTCTTCTCATATATACTAGGGCTTATGTTGAATTGCGATTACTCCCTCATCAATGGTAAAGAGGACGCCCATATGCCCACCGGCGCCACAATTTCCGTTCGGGTAAACATCGATCTTCTTTGCGCAACTTTACTCATCTAGGTTAATCTATTACTCCCACATCTTGATCCGGCCAGACACACCGACGACGACGTTCTACCTCCTGCCACAGGGTTCGATTTCTGATTTCAACTTCGATTTTTGACTTTGCATGTTCGATTTTTCAAGCTTTATCTTCGATTCCAACTTGATTAGGTTTATTGAATACAATTTCAACTTTCATCTTCAATCTATATGAATACATGGATTGTGAGATTGCTTTGAATGGCCTTCCGAAATAGAAGAACAACCTTGTAATACTTCTTATTGCTAAAATTGTAATCGTTTTTTTTTTAAAATTGGCACTGATTATTGCTGAGTTTAGCATATTTTATCCTTGTGTCATGGGAATGTAGAACGTATACAAGGAGATATTTTGTATGATTGTTTATGACCTAAAACTGTTGATACACGATACTTCCTCCTCTGGTAACTGTGATATTTTAACTTTTAATGTCAAACTTAGAATTACTTCAATTTTAGTTAGTATTTATTATTTTAGGGTTTTGACATTGTTTTCTTTTTGTATGTATAATATATTTATTGGAACTTTTGAAGCAGTTATAGGATTTTTAATCGAAAAATAATATGTAAATACCAATTTCAAAATTGAAAATTGTTTGTTTGATTGCTAAACTAAATATAGCATAACTGATGTAGGATGCCCAAAGTACTCCTCATTCCATCAAAAATCCATTTCTTTGTTTTTCTTAATTGGCCAATAAACAAAATCTGATTTCAGATTTGTACATTCTGAAGTTTATGATGTTCCTGAAGTACCCTTTTTTAAAGATCTTCCGGAGATTCATCATCTTATTGTGTATTTAGTCAAGTGTAGCAATTTCCTTCTATATCCGATATCTTTATATTTCAGCTGAGTAAATTTGCTTATTGGTCTCTATGTGTATGCAATTTTGCTTGCATTTATAAGAAATATACAAAAGTCAATTGCGATTTCTTGGAAACTTAAAATTTCCAACAGTGTTTGACAAATTTGCAGCTACTCAAGTCAACAAACTACGACCACAAAATTGTGGTTACATATTAATTGCACTTTGTCCAGCGGAGACTCTTGGGTCCTACTTTGGAATACATGAGAAAAATTCTACAATTACACTAAAAGAATTAATTATATATTTTATGTTTTGTATCGCCACACTTTTTTATTAATCAACCTGCGTTTGTCTTTATCCCTGTGACACTACAAATTATGTTTATTTATTAATATCATTGTTTATCCACATCTTGGGTCCACTTTTACCACTAATTAGTTGGCTCTTAGTTTTTTGACTCCTTTTTGGTTAAGTGGTAGTTATAATTTTATTTATTTGAAAGAATTCCACTAGCGGGTCAGGGTCAGTCATCACAACAATATCTCAACATATATACCATTTTTTTATTCAAGTTATAAAGACCAAGTTCATCTTTATCATACTACTAGGTTATAACCCGTGGACACCACGGGAAAGAAATTTAAAAATAATTCAATTAACTTATAACTTAATTATTGAGCAATGTTTTGTCTAAAATTTCATAGTGATATAACGATTGGTTGAGATTAAGAAATTATAATGGTTTGAATATCAAAACAGCAATTTGTATTTGTAGATATGTTAGAAAGTTATCATTTTGTATAATGCATTATAAATTTAAATAAAACATAAACATAAATTGATATAAATAATAAAGTTGTACAAAGTTTTTATAAATTTCTAAAAACTTCTTTATACACGACATTTAATGTTTTATTTGATAGTCTACCATGGTTATCTAAAATTAACAATTTTAATCTCTCTCTACTTTGAACTCTAGATAAAGCAACATACAATTGGCCATGTGTAAAAACAGGATCCTTGAGAAACAATCCAACCTTAGATAAAGACTGTCATTGGCTCTTGTTAATTGTCATTGCAAAACATACAGCCAATGGAAATTGTCTTCTTTGGAATTTGAACGGGATCTTGTTTTCAGTAGAAGTTAAAGACATTCTTGGAATGAAAGTCCGGTTTTCAATATTACTTCCAGATATGATAACTGCCTCGATAACTCGTTTGCCCAAAGATATGACCTGTAGTCTAGTGCCATTGCATAAGCCATTTTTCTGATCAATGTTTCTCAATAACATAACTGGAACACCGACTTTTAAAATGAGATTATGGTTTGGCATACCTGAGATTTTAAGACCATTTAAAACATCAGGTGAGTATAAATTTGCATCAAACTGATCATGGACAAACTCAGATTGGCAAAGGCTATCTGAACGTAGATATTCTTTTTGCTCTCCTGGAATCAATTTTAGCAACCGATCATTTATTTCTTGGACAACTTCATTCTTGGGAGCAAGTATTGCTCTTTCTTGAAAATAACCCACAATGTTGAAGTTTTCAAGAATGGAAGGATATACAAAATTGATTAATGAACCAATAGGATCACATGGATCATTAATGAGAATGTCTTCTGGAATATCAACAGTTGCTTCACCATCATTCGGACCACCAAGATTACATTCTCCTATGTCCAAAAGCCGAAAAACCCGTTATTCGATGAACAGCAGATAAATCGCTTCCAACAGTTAACCTCATGTTTTTTTGTTAATTTATGGACTTTGTATTGTTGCCATAAATACGAAGAACTTAAAGAAGCATTAACAATGTTTTGTCTACTGCCACCCGGAACAACAGGTAGAATTTGTCTGAAATCACCTCCAAAAACAACCACTTTCCCTCCGAATGGAATATTTGAGTTTGTATGATCAACAAATCTTAATATATGCTTCAAAGTTCGATCTAAAGCTTCAAATGCATGCTTGTGTACCATGGGTGCTTCATCCCAAATGATCAATAAGGCTTTTCTTACTAAACTCGCAAGGTCACTCTTTGGATTTATTCTACAAAAAGAATCCTCGGTAAGATTTATGGGAATTATAAACCGAGAGTGTGCTGTCCTGCCTCCAGTCAATAATAATGAAGCAATCCCACTTGAAGCAACGTTTAAAACAATCTCTCCTTGGGATCTAATTGCTGCAGAAATTGTCTTCCATAGAAATGTCTTACCCGTTCCACCATAACCATAAATAAAGAATACACCTCCCTTATTATTTTTAACCTTAGCCATTATATCAAGAAAAATGTTGCGTTGCTTGTCGGTTAATGAAACAAAGAGGCGATCAAACTCATTCTTCAAATTTGGTATGTCATAATCTAACTCCTCGGCTATCAAACGATTGTTTGAAGATGAAACCAAATCAGCATCTGGGTAAGGCATCCTTCTATAGTCTTTGAGACTGGAATTGTTTCGGAGTAAAATTTGTTCTATCTCAAACAAAGTCAAGTTTTTAATTTGATCTTCGTTTAGTGATAAACCTGTACGAACAATACTATATTACTTACAACATACTAAAAAAGAGATTAAGTGGGACATAAAATGTAATTGAGTGCATATTGGAAATTTATATGATACAATTTTAATAATAATGTAATAAACATACAATACCTGGAGACTTTAATCTCTTTTGTTGAGTATAAAGAATTCCATCTGACAAGTATTCCCATGTGTCTTCCCATAGAATCTCTGGTTTAGACAAACTGTTGGACAATAACATCGTAGCAAATAAGAAACGTAGATAAAAACCAGATCCAGAAAGACTTGCTTCCTTAATTGCTTCGATGTATTCTTTGTCATCATCCAAAAGACCCAGATTATAGCATGCATCTTTAAAAGAAGAACATATTTCACCATTGACTGTGCGAATTTCTTCGAAGGATTTTGGACCTTTCACTTTATTTAAAAGAATTCTTAAAAAATATGCTTCGCCAAGCTTAGGTGAAACGGAGTGAATTCTACCAATAGAATATCCAACTATCCTTGGCTGCCAACTTTGAAGTTTAGGTTTCCAAACAAACTTGGTAGGAAATTCAACACATGTAAGCTTTCGTGCTTCTTTATTGATCTCATTACACTTCATCCAAGATATGAACATTGAAGAAGCAACTGAAGGCCGGTCAAGAACATCTTCAATATCATCGTCTGCCTCATATACAACTTGTTGTTGACCAGGCAGATGAAAAGGTAGTCTAATCACAGCAGGATGCCTATAATGAACATCATATTTAAAAATCTGCCACGATGCTTCACATGCAGATATATATCTACAATCATAGTATTCTTTGATTTCATCCACTGCATCGTTCTTATCAGAATCATTATTGCTTTGCACCATAGCAAAAGTCGCTCTATCAGGACCCTTGTTTATATATTTAAATAAATATTTTATAGAAGATCCTTGATTGCACCATTCAACATTGATGTGTGCCTGGTATCGTTTTAACAGATATTTGTTGTATGGAACAACGTTTCTGTTATCTAACTGAACACCAGATTTTTCAATAAAATTTCCATCATTTCTTCTCCTATATAAGGGAAAACCATCTGGATCAACTGAAGTATGATTACAGAATTGCTTTGGAAAGTTTTTAGAACACTTTCCGTCTACCATGCATGGGCAATTGAAATTTTCAGCTCCACATGGACCGTGAATCATGAACTCCTTGACAAGTGAATATAATTCTCGATCTTCATCAATATTTGGAATCTCAGCAGAAATAAGTGGATCGATATATTCAACTGTAGGAAGCTTGCAGTCAGAATGCATAAACAGACATATATAACTATGAGGCAGACCTCTTTTTTGAAATTCAATTATGTAAACCATTGCATATAAAAATACAAAAAATATGATACAAGTTAGCAACTAAAGAATATATATATATATATATATATATATATATATATATATATATATATATATATATAAGTATAATTGTAAATACCTGCTTGAACCTTGCCAAAAACTTCATTTTCCCTTAAATCTTTAATAAATGCATCCAAATTAATCTTAAATAACCTACATAATATATCCGGTCTATCTTCTGGATGAAGTGGAGTGTCCTTAAGAAACCTTTGAACTTCTGGCCATTTTGGATTACACGTAAAGGTTATGAAAAAATCTGGATATCCAAACCATTTACATAGCGCCATGGCATCCAAATAGTTTTGCATCATATAATGTGCACCACCGGTAAATGAAGAAGGTAAGATCACACGTTGCCCAACGTCCGAAATATCTGTACTCCCATGTGCTTGGTGATCACGCAGATTCTCATAAGTCTCACATCTAAGAATTTTTTGTTGCTTACGTATGAAAAATAATCGCTCACTTTCAATCATGGTATAACCATCAACTAAAAATTGTTGGAACAACCTTTTTGCATTAAGAATTAGTGAGAATGATTGATCTCTATCTTGAATTCTATAAGCGAAAAATTCTCTCATCGTACATGTCGGGCGCTTGCTGTTACTTGAAGATGTAATACCTCTATGAAGGATGTCAACTCTGTAACTATCATCGTCATATGGAAATAGTAATGGATACTGTAGAGCAAGGTAAGAAGGATGTAATTCACTGATACGCTTTAGTAATCCCGATGAGGTTTCAACAATGATGTCTCTTTTTTCAATTGAATCATGAATGTCACCAACAATTAAAGCGGCTACCTCAGAAGAAGTTGGTAAGTTATACGTCCTTCCATCTTGTTCTCTTTTTCCGATTAGTCTTAACTTCAAATTAGAGCCAGGATTTTCATGAAGACTGTCTCTTACCATCCGATAAGACTTCACCAACGCATTGTTTGAATCTAACATAACCTTCAAAAATTCTATAATCGGGAGATCATATGGTCTTGAACTTGATGTAGAAGCATTTGTTGATCCACTGAAAATATTATAAAAAAATAATTATTGTTAGTAAATAAAATTAAATGAAGTGAAAATATTTATTGAAGTTGATTGTAAAAATATACCCAATACTTGTCGATCTATTTGAAATCTCGTTCTCCGTATCATATATGTATAACTGACAGAATTTTGGTCTTGATCCACCTGTAGGTAGAAGACTTCCCATACTATGATAATTTTGACCGCTAAGTCTGAATATGTATGGTGCATTGCCTGTGTTGATAGATGAATCAACTTTGCCTCCCATTGATGTAAATGAAAACATTGAATTGTAACGTCGAATGTTCTTCATGAAGTATTGGCTTTTAGAATCTACGGAACGGTAAAGATTTTTGTAAGATGACGGTGCTTCTTTTAAAGGTGGTAGCTCAACTTTGCCGTAACCAAAACATAAGGAATAAGATGTATTCCTTTTTTGTTTCCCTCTAACCGATTCATCTGTCCATAGTTTTGCATGACACATCTGGCATATAACAATCTGGTCTCCATGATCCAAGTAATCTGTTGAATTCCATAAATAATAAAAATTCATGAATATAAATAAAGAATAAAAAATAAATAATATTAAATTTTATATAATTATGATCACCTATCGAAGTACCGCGGAAAACATCTTCAATAATATGGGCATCATTAATATTTTCATCTAATGTCAAGTCAAACATAGGTATAGCACATATATGTGTAGCCTTCCTTTTTAATTGATGTTTTCCTCTTGGTAACTTGATTGATGAAGATTTTTGAATGATGGTTGAACGACCGGTGGATGTCATGCCAATATCAAACACCGAATTATCATTGTTAATAGATAGCGGTGTTTGAATGTTATTATTGAAAATATAATTTCCTGAGAAAATAAAAATATTAATTATAACGTTAAGAATTTTTATAAATTATATAAATACGAAACATATGTTTTAGAATTTGTCTATAAACAAATGCATACCATTTGAAATGTTAGATAAGGGAGTTCTAACATTTATATTTGTAGAAGGAGAATGAATAGTTGTATGTTGATATACAAATGATTTGACTGACTTTTGGTTTTCCTTATCTGATGTAACGTTTCTGTAGTTATCTATAGATACTAAATGACGACGACGATTGTAGACATCTGTTATGTAATGAGAAAAAAATAGTTAGTAATAAAACACATAATTTTAATTTTTTAAAAAGAGAATAAATTTAATAATACAAAATTTTGATATATTTTATATAGTTAAAAATAATTGTAAAAAGAATGAATAAGAATACCATTATTCGACATGTTAGAAACACGTGTAATAGAAGATTTTTGATGCGTAGATGTATTAGAAGTTATTTTGGATTTTTTATTATCCAAATATAACTTTCTAATTTTTCTCCTCTCTTTAGCGTTAGTAGAGTATGTAGTGTTAATTGAACCTGTAAAATAATAGTAAATAATTTAACGTCGTTTAGTTATATAAAGTTCAATATATTATATTTTATAAACGTTTATTTATTTTTAAAATAATTATGAAGAACACATTAAAAATAAATAAATAAAACATATTACATATGTAAAACAAAGTAAGAAAATTACCATATTCACTAAAAGGAATAGCATGTGCAATAGGTATATGTTGAGACGATTACGCGGTATTGTTTTTCTTGGATTTCTTATAATCCAAGTATAACTTTCTTTTTTTTCTTCTTTCTCTAGCGTATGTGGCATCCATGTTCTTGTTTGATATATAATAAAAAAATAACGTTAAAAAAATTAATAATTTGAAAATACCCATTACAGATGATTAGTAACTTATGTAATACGTATAAACTTTAATTAAAAAATTGATTAATAATAAAATAGCAAACAAATGGTAGTTCTAAATCATAATGGGTAATGAGTTAGTTATATATAATATATATATTTAAGATGTTTTATTTATAAATTAAGACATTTTTTTATGTATAAATTAATAATAATAGTTAAATATTATATAATGATATATATAAATATAAGCAAATTAATAGATACGACCTATAAATTTTTTTATAGGTTATCAGTTAATTTACATACATTGCCTACATTAATCGGGGAAATATAGTAATGAAAATTATGTAAATATTTAATTTGAAAAAATGAGAAACCAAATAAAAAAAACATTTTAATCATTTTTTAGCATATTCAACATTTTTTATTTATCAAAAAAATTATTTTCACTTAACATTTGTCGGCATCCCAATATTTCCCCCTTTCCCCTTTGTCTGTAAAAGAAGCGATGTAAAACAAACCAGACCTAGAATCGATTACATACATATCTCCAGAACCACCGATGAAAATCTAAAACGGTGTCAAAGTTTCTCCATCTAAATCGATGAAGAAATATATTACTACACAACCGATTAGAAATTTGAAGTGAAGAGAAGCTTACATACAGTAATAGCCGATGTCGAACTCAGAGACTGAAAAAACGCAGCTTTGGCGGTTGAAGAAATCACGATCGGAGGTGAGAGAAGATCAATTGATTGTTAATCTTAGTTTTTGTAACAGAAAATACATTTTGTCAAAGAAATCTTACCTGATTTTATTTCTCCATAAATGTTGTATTTGAAGATATTAGCGAAAACTGAAGTTGTTCAAAGGAATGCCTTGAAATTCTTTAAGAGCGGAAACACAATCAGGTAGATATGCTTTTGGTTCGAATTTTGAAATTTGAGTATTTGTTTAAATATTTGAATTTTGAATTTGCGAAAATTTATACATAATTTGGTGCAAAATAAATCACGGGATAATATATGAGTAAATAAAACAGTTACTGTAGTTGATATACCTTCCAAATTATATGACATTTGTATAATTGTATATTTAGGGTTTCAATTTTAGGTATAATACATATGATCTCTATGTGATCAATTACATCTAAGAAATAAGTCGAATATTAAAGTTAAAACCACACCCAAACACCAAAAAATTGAATTTTTCTTACCTATATATTAGCGGATATTAATCATAACAAAAGAGAAATTACAACAATAGAAGAGATGGCATCCCATTCCAAGAATATTCTTTCACAATTCCTATTTCAAAGGCAGTTTAGCTATTGGTGCTTTGTTGGTATACAGTAGAGGTTGGTTTTAAATTTTAATTCATACCTGAAGAAACAATTTTGAAATTCTGTCAATAATCCATCTGATCATATGATTTATATCCAATGAAACTTTTCTCAGGTTTGCTTTATGATGGTCTAAAGGCATTCTTTAAGGGCTCTCCAAATATGAACTCACTTGTTGGATTTGGATCCATTGCTGCTTTTATGATAAGTGTTGTAAGCTTCTCATTCATGGACATCCTATTTTTATCAATTTTTCATCATCACATCATTACATGTTTTATACTACTAATACATTCTCCATCTTCTAGATCTCACTTCTTAACACTGAGCTTGGATGGGATGCCACATTCTTGTGTTCAGGGGAAAGTTATTGCTGGAAGAAGTGTTGTGGATGAGTCTATGCTTACTGGTGAGTCTCTTCCTGTTTTTAAGGAAGAAGGGCTTTTTGTCTCAGCTGGAACAGTTTGGATGGGTAATATTTTTTCATTCCAAGAATGTCTTTAACCACACCCAAACACCAAAAAATTGAATTTTTCTTACCTATATATTAGCAGATATTAGTCATAACAAAAGAGAAATTCAAACAATAGAAGAGATGGCTGAGAACCTCCAACAATTTTGAAATTTGACGATTTTACCCTTTAGTGCATCTCTACATATAACAAACAATTTATGTATACTGTTTGCATTTTTCTAATTTTCAGAATGAAATTTACAAAATTATGCGTATTCATACAAACAATCATAGTTGTGTCATTATGCCTATTTTGTACTTCAAAAAGTAAACAAAGTTTGAATCTTCACAATCTAGCAACTTGATGGTCTGACTATTAGTGAAAGGTACTTAATACTTTTAATAATGGTATGAATATTTACTAATAGTCAAAAAGATAATAGATTGCATCAAGTACTCTTTTACATAATTGATTTGGAAATTTAGTAATATGAAAGTATATTGCAGTTAACATTCTATTGTGATCTTCTTTACCTTAATGCATTGATAACATGAAAAACAGGTTTAAAAAGATTTATTAAACAACAAAATAATTTCTAAATCATAAATTCATAAAATATTAAGAATGCACGATAAACATACCATTAAAAAACAATCATCCCCAACAAATGTTTGAAACTTCCAAACAATAATATCAAAGTACCGAATGAAAAATAAAATGCATAAATCTTGTTTAAAAGCCATGGTCCACTACCTTATGAAACTTCAAATTAAAATAATAACTCAGCCACTTTTTTCCAACTTGACCTTCACAATCTGGTTAATGCGTCCTTCTGGTGAAATTTTTGGAGTTTTTGATGATGATAACTTTTCATTCAACTCCAAATCAAATACTTCTTCCAAATTTCTCTTCAAAACTGTTTGTGTATTGAAACTCTTCATGGGACTTGTTGCTGAGTTTTTATCAACTGTGGAAGGTGTTATGTTGTCGTCTGTCCCAGAAATTTGATCCTAAACAGAAAACAATTGTACTTAGTTAATTAATTAATTTATAAAGCGAACTAATATTTATATAATAATTAGATACAAATATAATGTGTACATCTACCTTCAAAGTCCTATTATTTTGTGTTTCAAAATCAGATTCACCAATATCAAATGACTGTGAATTACCAACCTGCATAATAAATAATAAAAAATATGAACATAGGTCAGCATATTAAATAAACGTGTAAACATTTATATCAAATATTTAGACTATTATTTAGTAAATACAATAAGGTTTATGTATACATAAAAACACAAAAAATATAATAATCTCAAAATCTTAATAATAATAATAAATAATATAATGACCTGGGAAGCGGTAAACTTATTTTCCAGTTCTTCAATCAACTTTTCATCATCACTGACTCTACATATACTGTATTGGTTGTTCTTTTTTGAGATGTTGAAGTTTTTGATTGATATTTTAAAAGTCAATTTCAAACCTTTCGGTGCATTTATCTCTCCGGGATAAAAAGCAGTACCAAAACCAAGCTACAATAATAAAAGTAAAAAAAGTTTGGTTAAAGTAAATATATAAAGTCAATGTATTAATTAATTTTATTTATGGTGCACCACCTGCACTGCTTTTTTAAACAGTTCATAGGCTGATTTCTTCAAAAGATACTTTCCATCTCTTTCAAACATGGTTAAGGTAACAATACCAGTACTTTCTTGCACACGTATCGGAATCATAAATCTATAAAAAAAATTCCAAAATAATATTTATATATATGAAATATAACATAGGTTTAACTGATTCAGGAGGAAATTAATAACCTCGGAATAACTGAAGTTTCAGTTTTTTTGCAGTCCTTATTATGACATTCATAACCATTAGTTGCTCCAATTAAACCATTTCCATCAGGTTGATCGTCTGCACCAGGAGGCCGAAATGCTCTGTAGTTGCAATTTGTACATGCCAAATAATGTCATGGTTCATTTTGTAAAATTCCGTTTATAGTGCCCATGATAATGAATGTATTTTTCTGCATATTAATTTTATTTTAATAAATAAATATGCATAACAAAAAAAGTAGAGTTATATTGATAATAAAGTATATATAAATCGCACCTCCACAAGTTCAGAAACATCAGCAATAGTCTTCAACTGAAACTTAACCATGAAATCATCATGTTCAGAAACCTTATTAGACATCATAAGTGTCATTGTATTCATGGATGAATCCGGGCGATCATCTCCATCCAAACTGTTAGATAAAATCAAATTAACAAATATTAGTCACATAAGATTTGGATGTAGAAATTAGAATGTAATAACATAAATTAAGTAATATTACTCACAAGAAAGTTAATTGTAGAAATTACAATGATAACATAAATTACCTTTTCTTAAAATCATTGATTTCATCAATGTCAGTGTTAATGAACAACTTTGACACGGTAAAGTAGGTGTTAACTGTGGGGCGATCTATAAAAAAGATGTTATTCAGTGTTAGTGTAATGATTATAGAATAATATTTAATAAGAAAATAATACAATATACCTCTCCAAATACTAAGTTTTGAAAATTGAATGATAACAATGATACGAAGATTGTGCGGGTTGTTATCAAGAAAGCCTTGCATTTTGTAAGCAAAATCACCCCACAAATTGACACTCAGTTGCAAACCACTAAGAAATAAAAGTTTTAAATTAAATGAAATGATTATTATATAATCTAATATACAAAAATAAAAATAAATTTTAACAAACTTTGCATCTTGGATTTGGAGGTTGAGCCTGTGTTTTTTCATATCAGCATTGTCTCGCACCATGTCACCAAATGCAACGATTAATCTAATAACATCTATTAACAACAACAAATATCAATGAAATATTGTTATTAATGTAAAGATAAAATATTATATTCAAACAAAAAAATTGCCCATAATTAATCTATATTAAAATGCAACTAACCGATAGCAGTGTTTTCAGGATGGGCCAATGAGATAATAGACTGGTAATCAACAAACTCAAAACCAAATGTAGTTCCAGAAAAGTCATGACACTCAGTAACAACAGTGTCATGAAGAAAACTAAGTTTATGTTCCTGTTGAGTTAACCTGAAAGCACCCATCTTTTGTGATGCAAAGCTTGGACATTTTATGTAAAATGCCAAGCCATCTTTTACAATGTTTTTGAATCGGTAGATGTATTTTCTTAATACATTTGCTTGTATCTTGGTACCCTAAAAGAAATATAATATATAAAATTTATAATTAAATCATATTACATTTTAATGTGTAAAGAATATATAATGTTAACTTGATAGATACCTGTTCATCTATCAAAATTAACTCAATAGAGAAGAGTTCAGCATTGTTATAGAATGAAAAAAAGGTTCCATAGGTTTATCACTCTGACTTTGATAGTTGAATCATCTTTGAGTACATCCAAATCTGCAATGAAAGTAACATCTGGATGTGCCATTGATCTGCAAAGAATAAAGTATGTATAAAATGTTTAGTTAGAAGGTAAAATAACAAATAACATATATAAATTGAATTAAACAACAACAATTTCCAGTTTGAAGACAAAGACAGAAAGAATAGAACAAAAAATGTATGAAAAAACGGAACTATTTGTGCAATTTGATATTAAAAGAAACGAATTACAGTTTGAATAGAAAGACATGCAAAAAAGAAAACAAAGAATGTATGAAAAGATGGAAATGTGAAGTTACAAGTTAAAATAACAAATAACATATATAAAATGAAATGAAAAACAACAAATTCCAGTTTGAACACAAAGACAGAAAAAAAGAGAATAAAAATTGCATAAAAATGGAACTATTTGTGCAGTTTGATTTGAAAATAATTGGCTGAAATAAAAAAACGAATTAAAGATTACATATTGTATTTTACATAAATAAATTTGCTTTTATTTAAATTTAAAAAGAGGTAGAGGAGTATGATCTGAAAATAATTGCCAAGAAAAAAAAACGAAAAAATAACAACTTTTAAAATAGTAACTGCATTTGCTGCAAACATAGCAAGAATGAAAGTCAATTAATTGATGTGAACATAGAATTGAACATATTATGAGTTGTGAATGATTGAAACTACCGGAAAAAAAAGAGAACAAAGAATGATCGAAACTACTGAAATAGATGTAGAGTTTGATGTTAAAATAAAAAAAAATGAAAAGATTGTATTACTAACATTTTGCAAATCGGTAGAGCAGAGCAGATAAGAAACTGAAAATTGGAGGGCAAACCAGTAGAAGGTTATGTGCAATTCGATAGGTATATATAAATATGCAGAGACTAATGAAGCACATATTTTATTCCTGATTTTTATGGATTTGATTAGTGGGTAATTGATTTAAATTTGGAATTCGGTACAGATTTATGATTATGATCTACAAATAATTGGCAGAAAAAAAAACGAAATTGTAGTCAACGATTTGCATTCATTTGATTCCAGGAGTTGATAATGCGGATTTAAAGAAGCTGATTTAAATCCACGATGCTGATTTATCGATATTTTGACCATAAAAATAGGATTGATATGAGTTTTTATTTGCAGGTAATTGAAAATATGTGAGCTGATTTTTAGGGGCTGTTTCTCGATTTTTTGCTGATTTTTAGGGGCTGTTTCTCGATTTTTTGGTGTAAAGAATGGGCGGGAATTTGATGCATAAGAGTTCCCTGGTAAAGACACGTGTCAAGTTGGAGGTGCAAAAGAGGGACACTTGGCATCCAAAGTACTCTTTTATTAAGAATAGATTCTAGAGATTTAAAAAAAATAAAAATAAATTGCAAAGTCATGTGATTGTCTGTAGGACAAGTACGAGTGTTGGCACAGCTGTTGTTCCTGCACCAAAGTTACCATCTGAAATTACTGGAAAGACTGTTGAGGAGGTACAAATTTTTTATCTTAATTTCCTTGAATGGTAACAACAAATGCTACTACTTGATTGCTATTCTGGCTAAAATACAAAGTCCTATGAATATAATGGTAGATAGATGCAAAAATAAAGTATGTTAACAACCTATAATATTAATGTTAGAAAGATGTAAGTAGGTTGTTGTATTGTGAAATTTGAGCACATCAATACATTTATTTTGGGTTGGGCTTCTTCTTTTGTTTAAAGATCATCAAGGAGTGGAATGTGGAGCTCCAGGAAAAAACCGGAAAGTTCCGAAAGCAAGCTAATGCACTTGCTGACTGGGACAAGATGTAAGTAGGTTGTTGTACCCACTCTTTTTTATTCTTAAACTTAAACTCAAGAGTGGAAATGAAAAAATAGCTCTTTGTTTTTCCATCCACCTTTATTTATTTATTTATTGATTTTGAATTTTGTTTAGAAACAAAACAAACAGGCAGAAGTTGTTAAAGTTGTTGAGACCCAATCAAACCATGAGCGCCAGCTTGAACTTATCGAGACTCATCAGCAAGGGGTACTTTGAATATTATGATACTGATTCAGTGGGTGGTAGTTGTTGTAAATTGGTATATAATAATAATAATTAGACAAATTGTTGTTGTTAGTTTGACAAGTCTTTACAATGTGTGGAAGAAGAAGCTGAGCGAATATACAAAGATGAACATGACTTACTTCTTGATGATGAAGCAGCTTCAACCAGAGATGCAATGTAAGTTTCTGGAGTCGAGGGCATTTATGTCTTTTGCATATTACAAACAAGGCGGTTCTTATTGTTTTCATTTGCTAAATTTCAGGTATGAGCAAGCTGAATTCACAGAGAGAGAAATGGAACAAATGACCGAACAAATAAAGTCTGTTATTTAGACTCTTAATGTCAATCAGGTTATTTATCTTTATTTTTTATTTGGCAATGCAAAAAACAGCTTTGAAAAGTAAAAAAAAATGATTAATTTGAATATGTTTATGTTGGATATAATAATAGGCGGGAGAAGTTGAAGCAAGTGATGGTATGGGTATGGCCCCACTGGATGTGGTGGTTCGGATCCTTAACAATCAACTCAGCTCATTAATGTGGATCGACAAAAAGGTTGTATTTATATATTTAATTTTGTAATTACAAAAATAACAACTTACTTTGAAAATCAAAAATATAACTAAATTATAAATTATAAATAATATAAACATCTTGCTGGTTCCACAAACATCCTTTTGAAATCCAATCCTTTTTTTTAATTTCCTATCAATTTTGGTCCCAGTGTCGTCAAAGTCAACATTTAACTGTGAAAATTTTATAATGACCACATGGACCAAATTTGTTATTTACCCTAATATGTGTTATTTGTTTTCTGTAAATTAACCTTTAGAAAATTTTGAATTTTTAGTCATGGATCATGCTCAAATGATTAAAGAAACGTAAATATATTATGAAAATATTGTTATTATGTTATTATTGTTATTATATATCATTTAAATTCAAATCCCTTTAAAATCGGTATCTAATATCAATATATTTGTTAATTTGTCAATTTTCCAACTTACTCTAACACAAATTATAGGGATTACACGGATATTTATACCATACAATCAGAGATTTAATTTTTGAATTCCTTAATCATTATATTTTTTATGGAGATATCCATAAAAAATATATCTGTTATAAATTGAAGTTTTCATTTTCCCTGAGTGTACAATTTACTTCTGCAGAAAATTTTGTCTCCAACCCTTCCTTTCATCACGAACAACAAATAAGATAACATCAAGGTTAGTTTTTATTTACTCTATAATTTTGTATTATGTTCATCTTTTTCCTTCTATCAGTTCATCTGCATTATCTGTATCTTATTCTGCAATGACATCAACATTTGATTTTACAGAAGTGTTCGCATCTACTTTGTTCAAAAAGTCATAATTATCTTTGCATAATATGGTTGTATATAATTATCTTTTTCTGTTGTGATTGAGTTGCAGCCTAAAATTTTTCTCCTACATGCTTCCATAAAGATTATCACTTATAATCTTTCATTGTGTTAGGGCAACTGCACGTTTTATAAAATTTTGTGAACTTTATAGATCGGCATTTTATAAATGTAATTTTTATAAGTTACGCATTCTACTTCCATTTATAGCAATATACTTGAATATAATTCTTTTCTGATATTCAATTTTGTATGTTGGTCACTCTAATTCTTATTTATTCTTTTTTTTTTTCTGTATGTTGGTAGTACATCAACCAGTTTGAGTTTTTAATCCTTTGGAAAGTCTTATTTGTTGTAACTATTCTGTAAAACAACCTATTATTATTAAATAAATTCATCAACGCATATATTGAAATCTATTTTGCCAATCTTGGTAACCAACATCTTTTACTTGTGTAAATAGAGTTGAATATGTTTATTATAGCAATGTACTTTAACAAGGACCATTTTTTATGCGTATTTGTATCTATATATGTGACTTTTTCTATATCTATAATTGTTAATGTGTCTATTATAGAAATGTATTTTAAAATTACTTTGCTATTGTATCCAATATAAAAATGAAAAAAAAAGTTAAACAGGGGCTATTTTTGTACACACTACAAACCCTTGGGAAAGTTGTGGTCTTCAAATCCTAATTTTTAACATCTACTAGTACGGGGAAGAGGAATAAAAATTCAATATTTCTACTGTTATATAGATGATTTTAGAAGGGATTTCCCTTTAAAAACTGTTTGTGAGATCACAGAACCACTGAATGTATATTTCATTATTTTATATCCTTTAATTTTATTTAAATATTTTTTTTTAATTTAACACCATGAACGATTAAGAAAGAGTAAAAAGTAAGGGTTTTAAAAATCTCCATTTTTAATTTAATACTTACCATTTATTGTGTAATTAAATACTTACAAATCAAAAAGTTATTAAAAAAATACAATATAAGTTTTCTAACTTAATGATATATTATTTAATACACAATTAAATTTTAAATTCTATTTAACATTAACACCTGTGGGTTCCACGGGTTTTTACCTAGTAAGAAATAGAAGAGAGGGGAGAAGGCTTTAGGCTAGGGTGGGAGTTGGGTCTCTTGGCCTTTTGGGCAGTGGCGGAGCTTGAAGTTTTGATTTGGGGGGCCGAAAATAAAATTTTTATAAAAATTGAAGAACAGGGGGGGCCAAAGTCAAACTTTATAGTTTTTGGGCATAATATGTAACTCTTTTAATACTTATGGACTAATTATTAAAAAAAAATAGGGGGGGCCACAGCCCCCCTGGCCATATATAAGCTCCGCCAATGCTTTTCGGGGAGTCGGACCTTAATTTATTTTATATTTTAAAAAATTATAAAATTATAAAAACAAGTAAAAATAAAAGAAAAGAAAGGTTAAATCATTTTTTTTTATGGACCAAGGGGCTTTGTGTAATTTTCAAATATGAAAATTATGCAACCTATCGTTACTCACATCTTCCAAACACTTGCCACAGGAAAAAGATTCAGCGAGCAACTGCCGAATAAGGCATTTTTTGCCTCTTGCTGAGAATAGAGGGTGGTGTGCCCACAACATGTCGATATTTACGTAGGAGATGACTCTTCTCAATCTAACTAAAAGATCAAGAATAGTAGAAACTTCTAGTGAACGATGGCCTAAATGTGTCATTAACTTAAAAACATTTTGGTAGTGGTAAACAAAAACAAAACAGATTTAAAAAAACAACAAAGTGAAACAAACCAAAACCGAAACAAATACAAAAACCGACGGTTTGGTTTTCTATTTGGCAAAAACCAATGCTCCTTGGTTCGGTGTGTTTTTATGTTACATTACATGGATGTTTAAAATAAAAAGTCTTAAAAAATTATCAAGTGAAGATACCACGAAAATATGTTGACTAGGTATATATGAAAAGCCTCTTTTAATCTATATGAACAAAGTAAATATCGTTATGCTTAATGTTGACAACACGAAATGGGAACAAGAAGTCGAGGAATTTGGTGTTTTGAGGGTATCCCACATTTTGCATTTATGGATAAAAATGGTAATGAAATGAAGAAGGGAATGTAATGGGCAAGCTGCCCAAAAAATACTTCATGGAAAACATTAATGCACTTGCTACTTCAAGACCATCAATCCCACTTGCCAGAGTTGTCAGTCAGTTTGCAAATGCTGGAACTAGAAAAGTCCACCAAGTATCCGACCCGAGAAGTCAAGGTTAAATAATTCAAAATATATGTAACAAAATAATAATTAATTCTTTTATCAAATTACAAAAAAAAATAAAAAAAATAAAAAAAAAATAATTAAATCAAAGATTTCTTCTTTCATAAATGATTTATTTTACAGGTCACCTAACAATATTTCCTAACAAGCTGTTGCTTGAAGGTGAACTATGCTCACTTAACCATGGATCCTGTATAGAAACGGGTGAATTATCTTTATCTTTATCTTTACTTGCATCTTTTTCATCTTGTATTGTTAAACAGTCTGATATAACACTAAGCCTACGGCTACCAATTGCCGCCACTCCTGCCACCTTTTTTATGATACTTCCGCCTATTGATTTCTCACTGGCGTTATACGGTGATGAAGAAACCGATGATAATGATCCAATTGTCATATTATCATCAACCGTGTTCCACCCACTAACCTTAATCTCTTCCAACTCATCCGCCACTTCCATCATCGAAGGCCTCATATCTCTATGAAATGCTAAACATCGGAAAGCCAATTCCGCCACTTTGTGAATTGACGAAAGTGTCCACGCGTCTTTATTCGGGTCCAAAAACGGGTCAATTATATCATCCACACAACCTTTCCCGATTCTATCTATAGCAAGAGACGCTAAATTTACCTCACTATGATCCCGAGAAAAATCAACCACTTTTAAAGCGGTGATCATTTCTAAGAGAACAACTCCAAAGCTATACACGTCACTTTTATCTGAAAGATGGAAGTTTTGATGGTACTGCGGATCGACGTACCCTGGTGTGCCTTGTGGAGCGGTTGAGATGTGGGAATCATCCAGCATTCCCAATCTAGAAAGACCAAAATCGGCGACTTTAGAGTTGTAATTATGATCCAAAAGTATGTTGCTAGATTTGATATCTCTATGGTAGATAGGCGGATTCATAGCCGAATGTAGGTGAGCAATCGCGTGTGCGGTTTCGGTTACGATCGTGAGTCTAACTGTCCATGGGAGACCTTTCCCGCGTTCCCTTTGTAGATGTTGTGAAAGCGTTCCATTTGGCATGAATTCATATACGAGAATTTGCTCTCCTTTTTCGATGCAACATCCCAAAAGGCGAACTAAGTTAGGGTGGTTTACGGTGGAGATTAGTTTGATTTCGTTCATGATTTGGTCGTTTCCGTCTGTGTCTCGTTGTCGGAGTTTCTTCACCGCCACCCATTCGTTGGTGGTTAATTTTCCAGCGTACACTGTACCATATGCTCCGACACCTAATCGTTGTTTATCAGAGAAAGAGTTTGTGGCGCGTTCAATTTCTTTGTAGGGGTAGAATGGGACACTGAAGCTAGCGGTGGCTTCAGAGAACTGTCGTCTTGCACTCCGGAGGTTTCTAGAAGCGGCTCGTTTTCTAAGGCAGTAGCAAACGAGTGCGAACGTTGACATTAGAGAAGCTCCGGCAACTATACCTGAGAGTAAGAAATGTACACCAAGTGTTTGGTAAAACATCTGACTAATGAAAACACATCAACTGTTTGATAAAATGTGTGACCGACTAAAGGGAGCATTGCGAATTTTACCTCCAATAAGCACACCAACTCTTGATGTTTCACCGCATCGACCAGACATGTACCTTGAAGCGCCACAATTCGAGACTGTTGCAAGTTAATGTCGACAAA